ACAAATATTTTTATATCATATGTTTAACACCGTTACTTTTAAAAGTGCTCTATAAATTCATACAACTTTTGAAAAGTATTTCATAATGTACTATGAACTCGTAGTCCCAATCACTTTCATCTCTTACCATCAAATTCATTACTAAAGCAAAAATTCTGATATTTTTATGTTATATATCGAATAATAAACCTTAAATTCTCAATACAAGTACATATTTTTTAAGTGTCAATAGGCACTTGCTTGTATAATATGTAGTAACTTTACTTAAATCCACCTAACCTACCTATGTCTCTGCCTATACTCCATCTAGGCGCATAGGAGGCCTTGGCCCACCTCTAGACTAGCGCCTAATGTTCATTGATTAGGACCACCTGAAGTTAGAATCTTAAATCCGCCATTGAATATACCTTTACATATTAATAAAAAACCAAATTAACTTTTCTAACAACATGAGCACCGATGTAACGATATTCCAAACCTATCAAGCGGCAGTATGTGTTGGTAACTTTTCGAGCAACGTAGCTTTATTATTCTGGACCTTGACATTTTTCATCTAAGTACTTTACACCGAAAGGCTCAGCACCAAATTAACGATATTAGTCAAACAAATTCATGTCGGTATTATAAAAGTACACCGACTAACCAATCGATATTACATCATGCTTATGTGATTCTAGTATATCTATGCGCACTGAAAGTCAGGTAAAAGAAAGAGATATGTATAGTACTTGGCTCGATCGTCTTTAGCAAGTAGATAATCCTACACCTGTTAAGTTGTCGTTCCTCCAATAAGCAACAAGGACGTGAAACCCTGCATTTTTGAGTATTTGTATCCTTCTATGTTTGAAACACCCTAATCATTTTGCTATAGATAATAGAGGTGTGACAACGATATGTACGTAGAGAAGAAAATGAGTTCCGGAATCAGTCGTGTTTGCATGGGCTAATTGGTCCTGGTCGGCCATGCTTTGTCGGTTTTATGCAGGATTGATTCTTGTCATTCATGTTTATAAAGACGGATAATTAAACGCGACTAATTCTAACAGTTCTTGAGAAAATAATTGATTAATTGTGGGATTGTGTGAGATGGAAAGTAGACCTCAACTTGCATTGTTTTATTTATAACATGTGTGTGCGCGCGCGCAATATGCCCTATTGGCTGCAGCGTAGAGAGTATCATATTGTTCCTTTGTGGGAGAATTCAGAACATAATTAGCAAGCTAATCAGTAGTGTAAACAGTAATTAAGCTAGCATAGATTTCTCCTAATCTGTACATTTGACCAATCCTAGGCTCCTAGGTATCTAGTAAATCTCATGTTGATGAATCCGATGATGTTCAATATTACAACAAACGTAGAAGAAGGATCAACAAAGTGCAAGTGCATTTAATTAACTAATTGCTATTTATTGTTTAATGAGAAATGCTAATGAAACTCTCTAAAGTGAAATTCTCTGTTAACTCTATGTCATCTCATGTTTTTGATATAATATTTTATAATGTTGGCATGAAAATTGACGTTAATTAAACTGTTAACCGTGAGATGATAGAGATTTCATCAAGAATTAATCCCACTTTGAGAGAAAATCTCCTTAGCATTTTTCATGTTTAATTACTAGGTTAGGAATATTTAGGAAGGTCATGATCTAATGAACTGCCACATATTTGGCCGGGACAAAATCGAAGTAGCTACTAGCTAGCTCTTTAGTTGTTCGACATCATCTACCTCATGGTGCGTGCTTCTTGTTTTACAGCTGCAGGAATTGCTTAATTATTTGCTGTCAAAGTATCACGAGTTCTTGCAGACGTGAGAGAGTAGCAACATTAACAAGAACGGATGTGCTCTCCTATGATGTTAGGCACTTAAGTTAAATATATTTATCCTCACAATTTAAATTAGTTTAAAATAGCATATCGATCCCATAAAAACCATTGCTTTATTTCTTTACAATGTTGTTAACCATCCTGGAAAGGCCATCTTCTTCTTTTTTCTTTTTATTTTCTTTTTTCTTTTTTCTTTATTATTTATTTTAAATACAAGACAATTTAGAGTATGAGCATTAGCCATTTAACATTTTGGACCCGCCATATGCCATTTAATAATTTACAGTATGGGAATTAGCCATTTAAACTACTCATGTGCCCCCTCTCCTTCATTGGATTTGCCCCTCGTAGTATGGGCATCGTCATCTTCATTCACTACTTACGCCCCCTCGTAGTGTGGTCGTCTTCTTCATTCACTATTTACCGTATCAAAACTGGGCCTCGGTTCGACTACGTACGCGTACATGCATGCATGCATTATTGCGTGAAAATTGAGCAATAGAGAAGGTACATGCGAATTGCAATTGTAATTAACTATACAAGCTGGGAACTTCTGCAAATCGAATTGATGGGGCGAAATTAATCATGCAAACTCATTCAGATTCTATTAAATTTCTTTATGATTTGAAATTTTGTGATGATCCAGTGATATATAATTAAGTTATTCCCAATATCTATATATATACACACACACACTTGACAGCAAGCATTCATTCCCAAATTTCCCAGTCAAAATACAAACTACAGATTAACCTAATTCAGAACTGATCGTTCGCAAAAGAAAAAAGTTTGAAGAAAAATAAATTGAAGTTAAAAAAACATAGCAACATTAGTAACCGTGCCAATATATATGTACACCCCCATGAAAATTAATTAACAAACCATATTTACGTTTATGTGTATTACGAAGCCTACTGATTAATTAATTATTAAGAACCGATTAATTGCTGAGGTCTTGCCTTTGGATCATAAGCTAGCTGTAGGCAGTTATCTCCTTGGACGCAGGCGGAGAAGCCACAGAGTCCTGCGATGTTCGAGGCTGCGAATGCGGCAATCGGGAGGAGAATCCCAAGAGCGGGTCATCCTCGAGGTTGGACTCCTCGTGATCAAAGTTGAGGGCGTAGCTGAGTGCGTCATATTTGAAATCGGCTGAATGATGCCTCCGCCCCGCGCGGCCATGGCCATTGCCACGTCCATGCATGCGCCCAATCCAATTTCTGCACTTGTCTTTCAATTCTGCAAACTCGTAATGATTGTTGTGGTGGTGGTGGTGGTTGTAATGGTGTTGGGGGTGGTGATGATGCCTAGACCGCGAGGACCGAGGATTAGGGGAGAATGAGGAGGTTTGCACGAGGCTGACATTATCAGCCTCATGCGGAGTGGGAGGCGCCGTGAGGGCGCGGTGGTGGTGAGCTTTAGGAGTAGGGAAGCATGGGATGATGCAGAGGGAGGAGCGGAGCTTTTGTTTGAGGGAGTTTGGGGAGCAGGGTTCGTGGTGGTTCTCCATTATTTTGATTTGTGTGCAGAGGTGAGGGGTGGTGGTGGTGGTATTTGTGTTTTTATTTGGGAGGAGGAGGAGGCCCCGTGGGGAAGGTGCAATGACGGATGAGGACACGTAGGTTTCCGGAGTTCATGGGATGCTTTTGGGGTTTCTGGTCATTTGACTTTGTTCAGAGATTATCGCTTATTAGGGTTTTTTTTTTTTTTTTTTTTTTTTGTTCCTTTCGATAAATCTGAAAACCATGTTGGGCCAGAATTTGAAGGTTAATATTGTGGTCCATTTGCATGACATATGGGCTGGGCTCGAATACAAAATCGGAATGTGGGCTTGAACATAGCATAGATTTTATGGTGATGTGATTAGTTTTTCTTGTTGCCCAATTAAGAAAACCATGTGATTATGAGATGAGATTTGGTGCCAATGTGGTTAAGCGAGTTGATTTTTTTTTTTTTGGTCAACCGATAGATTTTGTTAGATTAGTCATTGACGGGGCTCAAATACACGCCGTCATGTAGAGGTTCAACACCTTTTCATTATTGTGGTAAAGGGTCATTTACGTTAAGCGAGTTGATTAGGACAATGTGTTTTTTTTTTTTTTGGTACTTGAGTTCGAATTTTCGTTATTATAAGTTAAGATTAGTTTAGAATATCACACTGCTGGACCAAATAAAGGAAGATTTGAGTATATGCAATCCATTTGAATTTTTGTTCATTAATCTTCTTTAATTCATTCGATCCAATAGCTGAAATTTAGAGAAGTATATAAAGATAAAAATAAGTGTCTTTTAATATTAGTTTGTATGATCCTTAGAACCCTTGGTGTGTGTGTGTTCTTCCTCACATGATACGATCTTTGTCCATATCCTTTGTGTAATAAAATATTGTAGAAGTGGGGTTGGGGTTGATACGTTTGTTTTGTTTATTGAGAGAAAATATACTCGCTCCTGACATTTGCGATTCTCTACAGATTATGTCTTGTTTTTAACTTTGAAAAAGATTCACTTCTATTCAATTTTGATATTATTTATTGATAAATTTGATCGTTTAAGATATAATTTCTTTAAAGAGTCGATTTTATACGTGGGGTAAGACGTCATTTGTGTGTACAATCGAATTGACTTTCAGGTTATGAGGACAAAGACGTTTCATTATCACAATGAATGAAACCACATGAATTAGGGTTTGGACTTACGTGAGACCCGATAATACCTTCATATAATGTAGCTCATTCACTTGTGAGAATGTCTGACCATCTAGCTGGTCAGACTGCTCTACTCACATTTATGAAATGTAATTTAATAATTAAAACACCTGTTTCATTGAAGCCAAACTTTTCCCCCCCTTAATTCTACTTGATTCATTGAAAGAGTGCATAAAAGAAAGTGCAAATTCACTACCCTTCTCCTTACCTAAACAGAAACACAGAAGAAGTGAAGTCCTCAACAAAACCATTCACTTGGTGCAGCCAAGAAAAGACATTTTATTTACTAGAAGGCCCAAAGAAACATTACAAGAAGAGATTTGGTTGATCACGTGGCTCACCCTTGTCCCTTAATAAGTGCCAGGTTTTCAGTTCTTAGCAACACGCAGCACCACTGTCTCATTCGACGCACACCTATTGTACTTGGTTGAACCTTTCGGTTAAGTTGCACTGAAACTCCATCAACCTTTCCACCTGACTGCAGTAAACACTATTTATTTTTGTTTTACCGGTAGTAGGCCGTTGAACCGTCTCTGAAACTTTAACGGTTTTCACTCATACATAATTGAGAGGAGAGAGATGAAGATGATTGATGCAGATTGTATATACAACCATCAATGGTATGGACCCCTTTTTGTCTGCCACCATATTTTGTTTCCATCTTATTGTTTAACTTCCATCTTCTTCTTCTTCTTCATTTCTTTGGAAAATATTTCAGGACCAAGCAGCTTTTCATGGTGGAAAAACTGGATCATTTATAAGAGAAATATATACATATATATATAGAGCTACACTCGTTTTCTTTGTCGGGTTTTGAGTTGTTGTAATTTGGAGGTTGAAATTAATGGCTGGAATGCTTCCTGGTGTGGAATGCGCTCGGAGGAGACGAGTCCATCAGAGCGGAGAGTCACCGTGTGTCGGCGGCATCCATGGCAGCACCAGGCGGTCTTCTTTCTGTTTGTATGCTAGCAACCATGATTCTCACCACACCCCCACCTCTTCACTGGTAATTCTATCGCTCTCTAAGTGTTTTTCGCGCTCTTATTTTCTTGGAAGCATCCGATTTTTCTTACCCTCGAAAATGAATGAATCAAACAAGAATCAATCGAGGAAAAGAAGAAGAGAGCGCAGAAGGAGAAACGAGAAACTGGAGTGTGAAAATCGCTATCCTACCGATTAAATTACAAGCAAATATAATTTTCTCCTGTTGTATGGATTATTTTTCATGATCATTGTTTCAATTTGCATGTTCTCCATTAATAACAGTATTAATTTATTGGACACAATAGCAAAGAAGCATACTGAACCAAGCATACATGGATGAGAAGCTGGGAGTGGAAGCCAGAGAAGCCAAGGGGAGATTAGATGAAAGACTGAGAACACAAAGAAAACCACAACCCAAAAGGTAATTAATTTACCAATATGTGGTCCGGCTATGAAACAAATTGTTGCTGACACATCAATAATGCCTCGATATCCATGTTATTGATGCGTTCTTGACAATATCGAAGAAACAATTGTTCCTTCATGCACATAAAATTTCTTAACAATAATGGTTCTTGCATTAACATACGCGAGGGGAATAAATTTCCTCTCACTCTTTCTCCTTCTGCAATACCTGTTTATTTTTGTCTCTCGATTTTCGATATTTTTTAACTATGTGTTTTGTTATATTTGTGATAAATTTAGGCATACTAATGGTGGTAACAAGGGACTGAAATGTGTGGATGGAGGAGGAAGATCATCTGTGGTGCTTGGGGAGTTGCAGAAAGAAGTTTACGGAGCAAACAAGAGTAGTAGTAGTAGTACAAGTGGGTCAAAGAAGTTCAGCTGGTCAAAGCTGACCTGGAAGTCATCGGACCAGGATGAATGTGCAGTCTGCCTGGAGAGGCTCAGGCCAGGTGAGGCCCTGGTGCACCTGCCCTGTGCCCATAGGTTCCACTCTGGTTGCATGGTTCCATGGCTTCACAACAATGGCCATTGCCCCTGTTGCAGAACGGAGATTATCTCCTAGTAACTGTATTGGTAATTTGGTAAATGCAAATTGAAAAATACAGATTGAGCTTGCAGTTGCAGTTGTAGAGTTGGTTTGAAGTTTGAACAATTAACTTTGTGATGCTAATTGTTTGGTTACCATATGTTTTTGTTAAAGTGAATAGTTGCCAAGTAGTCTTTGTGTGAGTAAATAGTTTATGCAAATTAGTGGGAGATTATAATTCCACACATTAATCTTGATGTAGGACAAGAATTCCGAGGAAAAAATATCAAGCAAATAAAATGTTGAGGAGTTTGGAAAGAAGAATTAAAGTCGGGCTATATCAGATTTAATCAACATGACGACATAAAAAGTAATAAAAAATATTTTCGTGCTAGATTTGAGCGTAATATGTCATTTTTGAGGAGAATCGCAAGAAGAACAAGACTCATGGTTATAATATGAGCCCGTCGTGTTTAAGGTCATTCGAGGTTGTTTAAACTCCCAAAACAACATTTTTAAAGTCTAATAAATTTCAGACTTTTCAATTTCTGTCCGGATTCATTCATGTCGTTTAATTTACTAAGACCCTGAGCTTCTTGAGGGGTTGTGTTTGTGTCTTTTTAAGCCATTTGGCTCCCAATGTAATGTATCAATTCAAGAAATAATCAAACAACCTTTCAATTTTATCCATCTATGATGGATTCCAAAAACCTTTGTTCTTCAGGATTTACGTTTGTAATCCTTATATGCTCGTGTTGCATCAAATCTCTTCCACAAATCTTTCAAAAAAATGCTTGACTCGTTATGTGTAGCGTTTCTCATAACAAACAAATCACAGTTTGACTTTTATAAACAAACTTTTTCAGTTTTTATTCTTGCAAGTCACTTTAGTATATGTCATAGTCTACATAAGGAATAACTCTTTAATTACAGTAAAGAGTTGAGCATTATTCCAAAATTTACAATGATTTCCAAATTATTGAACCAACATGTGATCTCCAATACAAATTTTTAAGAGGTGCAATCCCTTTTGTGAATGAATGTAATTGCACTACATATCACTATCTATCCATCCAACCTCCCCACCATGAAATTGAATACCACATGAGAGAAAATGCTCCACTCATGTGACGGGTAGGACAAGAACAGGTGAATTATAGGACAGTCTTTGCTGTCTTGGTCGACCTTTTTCTTGTTCAGTGGAAATCATTTGTTCTTGCACTAATCAAATGTTAATACCAATCACGATTCCAATTAAGGGAGATCATGGTGAGATCATAACAACTTAAGTCGCGAAAAAGATGGGCAGTGGTGGATCCATGAGTTTTTTTTTGTTAATAAGTGAGGTTATAAAAGTTTGGTGTGGTGTTCTTGCTTAAGTTTTTTTTTGGTGGGTGGGTCTTATCGATGGTGGTGCTTGAGCCTTCAGAGATTGAAGAACGAGGATGGAAGTTGAGTGAAGTTAGTGAGTTTGGGTGAAATAGAGGATAAGGGCAAAAAATGACAGCTTGTTTGACGCAGTGCGAGCGTAGTAAATGGGATACAAACATAAACCTAAGAATCGAAAATGAGATTTGTAGCCTTGCTTCATCCTGTTTTGATTAGCTGTTGGGTGGACAAAATCCGAGTCATTTTCATTAAACAAGTCTGCCATAAAAATGGAGTAATAAGTTAAGAATAAATCAAATAAAAGATTTGGTTCTCTCAAACATGATCGAAAAAATATCTACGCCTTGAAGGTGGAATGTCATTTTCTCCTATAAAAGATGAAGCATGCTAACTTGGATTTTATCCTAATTTGGGAGAAATCTTCTTTTTATTTTTTTTCCTACCCTAATCCTTGTTTTTGTGTCACTACAGGCTAGCTGGAGGTCACTAAAGAGTGGATCCAATTTAGCTAATTTATCTCTGTCTTGATTATATAGATGGAGAGATGATTAGGCAAGGATCAAGATAAACTGATTAATTATTCGTTGATCGATTGAAGTGAGTGACGCAAGAGTCCAAAACGTTTCAAAGTTTTCAATGTGACGTGTGACTAAGACATAACTTTGAAAGGATGAGTGACACGAATAAGAATTCTTTATGTCAAGGTTAAGACAATGTCGTGATTGAAATTGATCCGAAATTATGAGCATTATGAATTTTGAAAACTATACAAATTTTACAGCGAAGGATTACTGTGTGAAAAAAACCATGATTCTATAAAACTTTATTTTTCAGCCTACTTCCGCTTACTATTTTATGCCCCTCCAGGTTTTTGTATATGTTTCCTGATGCGATAAGAACTTGTGGCGGTTCTGACGATTTTAACACAATTTGGGAATTCATATTTCTTTATTTTATAAATATCCATCTTGTGTGGGATGAGAATTTAGTCTTACTTCTTGACTATTTATCTATGCTCTTAGCACTCGCGTATTTATAAATAGGTTCATAAAATAAATTGAAAAAAAAAAATTGCCAAGGGGAAGGCAGCGAACGACGCCGTTAGGTGGACCAATTATTTTCATTATTTTGGCACCTTGCGAATTTTACCATTTTAGACTTTTTCCGCAACGGCTAGTTTCCTAGTGACCGTTTTCCCGTCTCCCAAATTTCAAATCTGCAATCGACCTTCAACCCACCATTAATCTTCTTCACATACCGCAACTCCCAGAAATCTCCCTTCACTTTTCGAAAAACACCCACAAAACCAAATTCAAATCCAAAGCTCTGGCAACTTCTTGAATTCGATCTCTGTTAAACCCACTCGGCAATTCAAATCAAGGACCAAGAATTTAAAAAATGGTATATTCATACGCGCCCGCATACTACTCCACAATCCACGACTCCATGACCTCCCTGTGCAAGTCCATTCTTCCCTTTAGCTTCAAGAAGCGGCGGTTGCCTGCGGCGGAGCAGAGGCTTTCGAAGCTGCAGTCGGATAACCTCAAGTGGCAGCAGGACTCTTTCCACCAGATTCTGAACTTGATGGGTCTTCACAAAGAAGGCATCTTGGCTGAGACCGAGGTGTCCGCTTTCCGATTGCATTTGCTCGAAACCCTCATTGCCTCTCAGGTGGCGGAGCATGAACAGCCGGTTATTCTGAGAGACAAGTTGCTGTTCTTGCAGGTAAAATACCAGTCTGCAATCTCAGCTCTTTCCCTGTTTTTTTTATATTTCGATTGGATTTTGTTTCTTGGTTTTCTGAGTAACCAACAATGTTTAGGAGCTCTTGTATGCGAAATGCATATCGGAAGACGAGTACCATTCTTCGAAAAGGCCGTTGCTGCAGCGATTAGAGGCACAGGGAGCTGAGATCGAGGCCAAAGATATAATCGCTTCAGGGTCGCTGCCAGCGAAGGAACCGAAAGAGAATACAGATCAAGAGCAGTGGTCGGAAATTGACTTGAAGGATGAGAAATGCTTGCTAACGAAGGAAAAAGAGGGTTCAAATTCGAAGAACAAATTGAAACACAGCTCGGCAGTGAAACAAATCAAAGGGGCAGCTTCGGTGTTGGGATTTGTATCACCTTACAAACATGGGAAAAACAGGGGAGAAAAAAGCATATTCGATTTGCCTGATTCGTCAAAATTCTCTTCTTCCAGCTCTTCTAAGCATCAAGGAGGAGATCAATCGTCGATTCTTATGCCGGAAAGCTTGCCACAGGTGCCAGTGAAAGAGAGCGGCAGCGCAGATCGAACAAGGAGGAAACCGTTTAGGAGTCTGTTTCAGAGAGAACAGAAAGAGGGTCAGGGGGATCATGCCCACGAAAATGAACAAACACCTTCGAAATCGGCGAAAAAGCAATGGGGTTTTGATGGATTCAAGAAATGGAAGAGGAATGACTCGGAGGACGAGACAACTCCGCTGCCGCTACACGAAAGATCTGATAGTGAGGCTCACTTGAAGCTTGTTCCAATCCCCATGGGTGAAGGGCCAGACACTAAGCTCATAAAAAGGAGGCTGCCTTCGGATGGTTCTCCTTCCGATTTCTTCATTGACAAGGTTCAAAACTGTTTGATTTAATTTCGTAATTTTCCGGCTAATATTTGAAGCTTGATCCGAAATTGAAGGTTGTTTTTTTTTTCTTTTCCTTTTTGTATGATCTGAAGGTTTTAGGGGAGAAGATAAAGAAGGAGCTGTCAAGAATTCAGTCAGAGCTTTGCGCTTCAAATCCAAATCTTCGATTTACGTAAGCCTTTCGATGACTCTTTCTTAACATATACATTGGTATCGAAAAGCAATCTTTTTATATCGAAAATATATGAGTTTGATTCTTGTGATTTGCTCAGGAATGAACAAATTGAAGCTATTTCGACCAGGCTTCCGGTGGACAAGGCTGATCTGAAGAAGTTCTTTCCCAAGTGAGCAAATCTTCTCCGACTAAAACCATCGCCTGTTTGTACTTTCTCTCTTATTTGTCATTGATTTGTGTTTCGTTGTCAGGTCGTGGTGCGATCGGTATGGAGAAGTTGTCCTGGATGTGGTGAGGAAAGAGTTCAAGGAGCATGTTGGGGAGATGGAGAGCTTGAGAAATGCGGCAAGAGAGAAACACGGTATCCACTCAGCGCGATGGACTGCATTCCAAGATGACGAGGAGAATTGTCACCCGAATCTCTTTGCTCCGCCGCGAGACAACAACCACAATTATACTTCAAAGTTCCATGAAACCAATCCATTCTGTGATGATCACATTCACACCACCCCTAGGAAGCTGAGATCGAAACCGGCAGCTTATACACAAGAGCAGAACCAGAACCAGAATCCCTTTTGGATCCCGGGGCACGGCTACTAATGCATTTTTTGAGTAATTGCTTAATATGTATTTTGATTTAGAGATCGCTTAATATGTTGTATGAACTATGAGAGAAGAACTCTGTTCTTCCAAGCATTCAAACTTTATGTTTGATTTGTAAATGTAGGCAATGTGTTATCTCCTTCAATGTTTTGGAATTCGATTCGCTCCTTGATTTTTATTTTCTTAGTTCTTCTCACTCACTATTTGAAATCCTCTAAGGGCTTTCATGCAAACATCCAACATGCGTGTAATACAAGAAACAAATCAATCAAAACATACGACATGATCATCAGGAGTTAGGGTTACTTGCGATGCCGGCAAATTGGCGGAATTGGATTGGAAATCAAGTTAAAAATCGAAAATTTGGCAGCAGGAGGAATCTTTTGCAGAAACCTGAACCCGAGTCG